CAGACTTGGTAGCTTCAAACAACACTGATGTCACATTATACTGGGGAGCTGGTATATCTGGACTGGGCTCAGCTGGGTCACTCTTCTGCCCTATGTGATGGTCGCTGGAGTCATCTGTGTGTTTGCATTCCCTCGGTGGTTCCGATGGAACGCCAAGATGCCCTCTCATCCTCCAGGTCTCCCTGCATGCCGCCCCTCATCCCTGAGTGGTCCAGCTTGGACTTCCTGACAGCAGGGCGGCAGGGCTTCAAGAAGGGGAGGCCACAGCTCAAGTCCTCTTCAAATCCCAGAAGTCCCAGGACATCACTTTCCACCACCCTCTGTTGATTGAAGCAAGTCCCAAGGCCAGGCCCTACTCAAGAAGAGGAGACAAGAACTCCCCCTCTTCCCAGAGGAGCGGCAGGTGCGCACAGAGAGGGGAGGAGTTGTTGGCGGCCAATTCTGGAAACTCTCTTTATGGACACATAGTTTCAGATAGCGATACCCTCAGCAATGAATATTACACGAGGTCAAAAGAGAAAATAGCCTGGAGTGGAGGATAAGTGAGTGAGAAATGCTCACAGCCGAGGCAGGACGATGTTTTACACTTTGCCAGGAATGGATACTTTATGATGGTACGTATTTAAGTTCATACACTTGCCTAACCTCACGTATTAAATGATGGAAGCGTTATGACTGTCTCACACCTGAGGAAATTGAGACTGAGGGAGGTGAAATGACTTTGGGCGACCCGGCTCGTGGGTGGTGGGGCGAGGGTTTGGAACCAGGGCATGCCTTCAGAGCGCTTTTTGCAAGAATATCCCAGAGGTAGCTCTGTGACCCAATGGTTGAAGTCTTCCTTTTCCCACGAATTGACCCAACTAGCCAGAGGGGCGGACTGTTGCCATCACCTTCACGTGATCCTTTTGCCACCACTTTACAGGCATACGTTTGATTCTGAGCAGATGACAGAGAACTGGAGGCATGTAGGTTCAAAACATCCTTGGGGGGCTAGAGAGATGAGGCCCCCAAGAGATGGATGAATTAAACCTCACACACCCACTAGGGGTAAATGATCCCAGGTTGGCTTTATCTGCAAGGGGAAGCTGATGGTGTTATATCTTTAAAATAGCTGCTACACTTTGAACATTTGTCGTCAAGAGATCAGGAGACCCCTGGGTCACAAAGGACTTTTTACTCACGGCACAGCAAGCAGCAAGGTCACGGCGGTCCTCATCCTCCCTCAAGGAGGGATCCGGGTGAACCCTGCACGCTCAGGGAGTTTGCATCCCAGCTGAGAAGCCCTGAGCTTAGGGAACCTGACTCTTTTATGATGGGCTGCAAGCAAGCCTACCTGAACCGGCCTCCAATGAAACCTGATCTCCATGACACCGGACACGGCCAACGAAACAGCACCGAGCTGGGGAGCAGAGAGCAGGCGCTACCTCCCGAGGCAGTCTGCTTCATAAGCATCCTCGGAAAGGTAGCCCCGAATGGAAGGGCGGTCAGTCCCTCATCGCAAGACAGGCGGAACCATGAGACACGCGTGGAGAACTGTCACCCAGCCCCTTGTTGGGAACCAGGCCCGGTGGTCCCAGCTAACTGAACCCTCACAGCAGTCCCGTGAGGCAGATGCTGTCATTCCACTTTCCAGCTGAGGACGCTGACCCTGGACAGGTCCCTTAGCTCTGTCCTCTACACTTGTCCTCCAAGTTGGTCCCCCTGCCCCACCCTGGCTCTCGGAGTCCACGTGTCACCACTGCGCCACATGGCAGACGACACGAAAGCTGTCAATGGTCCACCTGCTAAGTGGCTCATCTCAGTCACACACTAGGGAGTGACAGACTCCCAAGTCACCTGCTAATGGGGGAGCATGGAAGTACCTATTACATAGCGCTGCTTTAAGGACTGGATGAGATAAGCCAGGTACAGTGCTTTGAGGTTCCAGCCACATACTTATGGGAAGTTTGTCACCAAGAGTTCGGCTTCCTCCTCTCCCGGTGTGACCCCGTCCTCTCTCCTCCCCTCCTGAGCACAGCAGGTCCACAGGGCGGACCCTCCATCCTGCACCAGGGGCAAGGCTGCCGCGAGACGTAGCCCAGCCCCGCTGCCCCGTTCAGCACCCTAGTGCTGGGAAGCGGTGGGCGTTGTCTTATGGAGATTCCTGTGAAAGCAACAGCCACTTGGAGGTCCACGGAAGCCCGTAGCATCCTCTGTGTTGCTGTTCAGAGGTCAGAAGCCCACCTCTGGACCCAGGACTCTTGTCTGCTGCGGGGCGATGGAAAAGTGCCGACTTCCCACTAGAAAGTGAGTTCTTCCAGGTCGAGCGAGAACTGTCATTCCTCCAGTCGGTGCCTGGCCTAGGTGCTCCAAACGTGCTGCCTGAGGCCCTGCTTTGTGGAAGATGCCTCCATCCCCTCTGAGCTGCTGTACCTGCTGGGACAGCCTGGGACCTCCCTTCCTCCCTGGCCCTCTGCCCCAGACCTGGGTTTCATCCCCTCCCGAGGCTCCCCTCGTCCGCCTGGCTGGCCCCGCAGTCTGTCACCGACAGGATGGCCAACCTCAGAGCCGGGTGACCTCTCAAAGACACCAGGTTTTGTTTAATTCTCAGAATTCACCTCTCTCCACCCTTATCAGAGGCAGCTAGTCCCCAGCTGGGGAGGCTGTTTGGCACCTTTCCCTGAATTTTGAAACAGATGGGCTGGGAGCTCCTGTGTCCTTTTTTTTTTTTTTTTTTCTGAACAGAAAGGAACAGGGAGAAAGGAAAGACCGTGACAGGACAGGATGGGGTGGAGGAAAGTTCCCGAGAGAAAAAGCCAGACGCATGTGTCATTATGATGCCCGCCCCATCATGAAAACCTTCATCACCGCTTTTTCAGAAGAAGGTCTTCCATGCATGTCCCTGTTTTCAGAGCTGTCATCACGTGCCAAATTCTCACCTAACGCACCGTCTCTGCTAACCCTTACAGCAGCACCTTGAGGTTTTATTATCTCCATTTTACAGATGAGAAAACTGAGGCAGAGTCACTGCCCGAAGCCACACACAGCGTGGAGGATCCAGGGTCCGAACACAGGGCCACCGTCTCCGTGGGTGCCTGAGGCAACAGCAGGTCCAAGTAGACCTCAGCTCATCCTCGCAGTAGCCTCCCTCCCCATTTTATACGGTTCTGAGGACATCGCTTCCATTTTCAAGTCGCGCAGCCAGCAATGGTTGAGCACAGGAGAAATAATAATACTAAACAGTGTCTGGCATGGGGTGGGCGGTGTTCAAAAGCCTCCACCACCTATGAATTTAGTTAATGCCAACGGCCACACGATATACTAGGTCACCATATTATTATTATTGCTATTTTATGGGTGGGAAAAATAAGGCTGAGGGATATAAAGCAGGTCCAAGACCGAACTGCTGGTGAGCGGTACAAACAGGTTCAATTCACAGCCGTCTGACCCTGTAGCTATGTTGTTCTTGACCGTCACACTATCCTTCTGATGCAGACTGTGGTCAGGGGGACCCCGACATCAAGGTCTTTCTCTAGCCGGATCGCCTGGTGCTTAGAGGGGGACAGTCACAGCAGACCCTATGCGATCACATGCCAACCTTCCTTCCTTCCTTCCCGCCCTGATCAGTCCAGACGCCCCACACCCTAGAAGCCGCAGGGACGTTCTGAGTCTGGTGCAAACTGGTTTGAGTGGAAAACATCCCTTAAAGGGGGAATGACTGTAGCAGGCTATACCCTGAGTCAGGAGGGGCGGAGGAGAGATTTCCTAGAAGGGGAGCTGCAGGAAGGAAGCTGTTTGTGAACTATGGGCACATGCCTGTAATGGCAAATCTCCCTCCATCAAAAAAGTTAACCAAGAGAAGCCAAGCCTGAGTGTTTGACCCCTAGGCTCGCTCCAGGGCATGTGCTGAGAACGGTGTAGGGTCCTGCTCACCTGGATCCTATAGGAGAAAGCTCTTCCCGTGGTCTGAAGATGTCCAGGCATCTGAACCTAGAGGGTCACGTGTGAGCTCAAACCCACAAATGGAGTAAGATGTCCAGATTGACGCCACGTGTCCTTTGAGCCGTTTCCTTCAGTTCTCTGCCTCCTAACTTGACTTTGTGATGGTTTCACTATTTCTCCTGGTTTCCCACCATGATTACATCATTTCCCATCTTAGCTTGTGCCTTCCGTCAGTTTCTAAGCTGTATCTTCTTTCGTTGGAGATTTTTGGGTTTAGGGGGTCTCACTGCAGAAAATCACAAGCAGGAAAAAGGGAAACTCTGCCTAGTGAGCATCTCCTGTGTGCCAGAATACAACCCTGAGGGTGGCAGACGCTTTCTGCATTTTGCCTCTCCTGCGCACCCCGGGAGGGTTTGCAAATAAACGTCCATTACGACCGTGACCGTGACCGTGACCGTGAGGAGTTCTAGCAAGGGGAGTGCGGGCTGCTTTGAGAACCTACAGCCAGGGGTCTTAACCCACTCAAGGGAGTTGTTTTACACTAATTCTGTTATTCTAACCTCTCCTACTTTTATCCATCTCTTTAATTGGGTTTGTTTTATCCTTTGTTTGGAATGTTATCCATTTAGAATTTTCTTCTTTGATAGACTGGCGGGCAGGCAGGAAGTGGATATACGGTGACTGCTGGAAGAATAGTTCACACTCTCATCAAAATGGTCCTTTAGCTGCCCCTCCCAGCAATGCTCAGTAACTCTCCCAAACACACACACACACATAAACTCTCCCTCCCTTCAAAATTCTGTGGAATCTGAGTTACAGAGAAGATAAATTTCTCAACATTTGTACCTTAACTGCTGGATACTTTCTCGAGCGCATTTTATTTCATTTTTTAAGACATGGTGGTATATTATATATCCCAAAAGTGCCTGACGTTTTCAGATGTACTCGGTGCCATGGTTGGAACTTATCTTCACTGTGGCAGTAGCAGCAAGGTGCTATGTCCGTTTTCAGACGGAGGAAACGGAGACTCAGCAAGGTTGAGAAACCTGCCCAAGGTCATGCGGCTCTCATTCGAGAAGGTGTGGTCTAATTCTCATAGGTGAGCGCCCACAGTCCCGGAGTGACCACCCGACATCCCCAAGCAATGGGGCAAGCCTTGTGACGATCTGGATTTCCCGAAGCCACAAAACCACACCACCTCGACCTTTTAGAATTGAGTCCAACTCCTACCATGAAAATCGTTGCCTGCCTGGGGGAGATACCACTGTGCTCCACGCTCCAGGGGATACAGAGGATGCTCATAATACAGTTGAGGGACTGTGATTTCTCAAAGGCAACAACTATTACTGAGGGCAGGGTGGAAATGAGATCTGGATGTGCCCCTTCCCAACAGTGTGCCTTGGGGGTAAGCCTCAGTTTGCTTATCCATGAAATGGGGATCCTACCACCTCCTTGTCATTTCGGGCAAATTGTTTAACCTCACAAGGTGGTTACCCCCATCTCCCCTGTACAGATGAGGAAACACCTTTAGGAGGTTGTCACGGAGACTGAAGTTAGGATATGTAATCTGTTTAGCACAATGCCTGGCGCAGACCTAACATATGAGTTTCTGCACTCGTGGTTCCCAAATTTTGCTGTATATTGGAATCACCTGGGAGCTTTAACAAAAACTCCCAATGGCTAGGTCACATCTCGTACAAACCAAACCCATGTCTGGGGGTGGGAGCCAGGTATCAGTGCTTTGCAAAGGATCCCAGTGTGCAGCAAAGCCTAGGGACCACTGATAACTCATTGTAAATTCCTGAAGGTTTCCGGTGCCTAGTTTCCCGCACTCGGGGGAGTGCAGCCTCCTGCTTGGTTAGACTCCGGTCCTCTCCATTCACTCTGGCCTCAGATCTTTCCCACTTGGTTGTGCAAGATGGATTCAGCTGCTCTGGTGGTCTTCTTGGCCACCTGGCAAATCAAACAGAGCACATGCCGTCAGCCGTCCCCCAGCGTCGTCAACGCCAATGCCAATGCCAGTTGCTGGGTTGCTTTGACCTCTCCAATGGCTACACTGAGTCAGGTCTGATCGAGTCCCCTCCATGATCCCTCATCATTGTCCGTCAAGGAGAGTGAGAGCCGCAGTCAGCCTCGTTCAAGCCACCATCATCACCTTTACCTTCCATCTGGACAACCCTGATAACCTATTTGCCTTCCTGGCCTCCACTTGAGTCCCCATCCCCGGGCATCAGCCATTTGAGTCTGTTAAATATCCATCTCATCACTCCCCTTGCTGTGTGCCCTCAAGGGTTTCCCATTGTCATCTAAATGAGGACCAAACCCCCGATCCTGTCCTATAAGTCTCAACCCCCTCCTCCTGTAATCTCATCCCTCTTCCTCACCCTTAAAAGCCAGGGCCATCAGAGCCTCAAAATTCAATTCCTTGACTGCTTCAGCCTCAGGACCTTTGCACATGCACCTCCAGACCACTTTTATCCCCAGCTAGTTTGTGTCTCTGTTAGCTATTTCTAGGTCTCCTTCCTTTTCCTGCTGTCTCTCCTGCTAAGAGGGGATAGAAAGGTGCTTGGCACCCAATACTGAAAGCATTTAACAGCAAGTATTAACTCATTTAACCCTATGATGGGGACCCTATTACTTATCTGGCATGTGAGGAAACTGGAGCACTGACTGGCTGAGTAGTTTTCTTGAAGTCACACAGCAAGTCGGTTGCAGAGCTAGAACTTGAACCTGGGCAGTCTGGCCCAGAGCCCAAGATCTGCCCTGATTGAGACTTGCCCCCACGATTCTAGGGCTTTGCACTCCGTAAGCACTTAATGGTTTTTGAGCGGATAACCCTTACGTGAGGGAGGGAAGGCAAAAAGCATTCTCTTCCCATCTCCTAGGTTGGCTCAAATCCAAGAGACCAGGGGAAGCGGAGGCCGCCCCGGCTCTGGGTACCCGGATGTGCCAGTGGAACATGGGTCCACACATGTGCCCACGTGTGTCTAGACAGCCTCCCCCTGACTGGAGCCAGGTCTTTCCCGTTTCGAAAGGAACGGTCCAACTCTCCCCCTGCCCCCTTCCCAGCCGCCTGCTCGGGGTCTCGGAACAGAACAACCCCATCAATTCATCAGGGGACGTCAGCCTTGTGGAGCGGTGTGGGGCATAAATCAAGCCACGAGGAGGAAAGGTTTCCCTTTTTCTTTTTTTTTTTTTAAAAGAGGTAGTGGGGAGAGAAAAATCAAGGAAGGGGGTGGGGAGAAAGCGACGGAAGAAGGTGGGGGGGGTGTGAGATCAAAGGAAAAAATTCATCAGAGATAACGAAATTATTTATTTTTCCTGCGCTCAGTCTCTGGGCCTTTGAGGCCTCCACACTGATGTATTTGGACATCTTGGGGCCGTCTGTTACCGGAGGCCACCCCAGCCCCTTCTGCTTGGGCCCAGCCCCCCAAAGGCACGTCGGTTCCATCAGCAGCGGCTGCCCACGGAGCCTTTTGAAGTGAGTCCTGGTGGTGTTTACTGGCCTTCGTGTAAGAAACGTGTGCACAGGGCTGGCTGGCAGCAGCTGCCCCGGGTGGGGGCGGGGGTGGGGGAAGGGGGTCCCCTCATCACTCATGAGCCTGTTTATTTGGGAACCAGAGCAGCCCTTTCTCCAGTTATTACTCAACATCCTCTACAGACCAAGCTGCCCTCATTCCAGAAGGTGGGGCAGGAGTAACAGACCGCACGTTGCCAGATGCGCCCATCTTGCCTGGGCCCTGTGGCGCCCTGGGCTTTCGGAGATGACTTGGGACCAGCCGAGCATCCTTTTGGCCCTTCATCTTCAAGAGGGCTAATTACAAGCACGGACCCAGGAGCCAGAACCCTGGGCTTCCTGTCCTAGTTCTCTTACTGCGGAACACTCGTGGACAAGTGAGCTCACCTGGTCCTCAAAGCAACGCCCCTGCCCCAGATCACAGATGGAGAAGCTGCAGGTTGGACAAGGTAGCATCCGCAGAGGACTTAGAAAGGCCTAGCAAATCCGCCCTGAAGTATCACCCCTCTCCACCCCCTATTTTTTAGTTAACGGGCAGACACTATTAAGACACCATTTCATAGTCTGTTTTAACAGGACAAGAGACTGAGAAGTTGTGGTCTGAATGGACAGGGTCAAGGCTGATGGACCGCGTGGCTGCAGGTTACCACGGCGAGGACTACAGTCAGACGGGCGAGGCTCAGCAGACCGGGGCTGCCGGGCTCTGGTGGTGTGGCCGCTGAAGCCCAGGCACCCCCCACCACCCCCCGCCTACTATTTCCTCGTTGGTTAAGAGCGAGACAGTAGGTCCTTCCGGCATGAGGTTTTTGTGACGACTCAGTGGGTTTTTACTGAGTCAACAACACATTTATAAAACACGATGTGCCAGGCACCGTTCTCAGTGTTTGATAAAATAGTTGCTTATTTAATGCTCAGGACAAGCCTCTGAGAGCTTGTCCTAGCAGGAGAGCGCAGCTACTCGTATACCCTTGACCGAGAAGAACGGTCCTCCTCTATCGGGGATGGTCGTCCTCTTCGACCAAGCACGCAGCTTTGGGAGGGACGCACATGGAGCGATGAGGGAGGAAGGGGACACCCGCCCAGCCAGCCAGATCAGCCGAATCAACCCTGGTGATCAATGGGGTGACAGATGTCACAGCCAGATCACCCTCACATCCAGGACAAGCCTCTGAGATGGGCACTAGTATCCTCATTTTACAAACAAGGAAACTGAGGCTCAGAGATGGGAAGAAGTTTACACAGAACAACAGGGCTCAGGGCATATGGAGGTCGGACACTCGAGATTTCTCATGATCACATCTTCGAGAATCGTTCGTAACTGCAATACAGCAGGCTACCTGATTCTAGAACCCCTTGGGCAGGGCACTCTGGCACACAAAAAACAAACAGGCAAGAGAGACGACTCTTCGGGAAGAGGCAGAGAGCTCAGAGGCCCTCGGCCGCGGACCGGAGATGGGGAGGCGAGGGCTGGAATCTCTCGAGTCTCAGGGAGGAGGTGACCCAGCCTGTCTACTCGCTTCTCCTGCAGCGGCAGGGACCACAGTCTTGCAAGAGGGGCTGCGGGCCAGCCCAAACCCCGCTGTTGGGCCTTGGACACCCACGGGAACCTGAGGAGAGTGGAGCTGTCCTGGGAACACACAGGCCAGTCCAGGCCGCTCCTTGGGGGAGAAGCGGGTCTAATGGTGGGGCCTCTGGCCTCAGAGGCAGCATAGAAAGCGGTTCAGCAGATCCCAGAAACTCTGCAGGGCCTCCCAGGGGTGGGACAAGGGGTTTCCCAGAGCTAGAGGGGTTGCTGGAATTTCTGGTTCAAGTGTAGAGCCGGAGCCTGCTTCATACCACCAATACCAGGACAACAGGACCACCTGGCAGGAAGCCAGCTGATCTTAGCATCATTTAGTCAATTCTTTTTTGTTTGTTAAACAGAAGTGGATGCCTTCCCTCTCCTCTGCCACTAAGGGTCTTCCAGAAAGCATGGGAACAAATGCACCTCAAACTTCCCTACTCACATCCTGTACCTCATTCCGGCTCTTGCAGAAGGAGCAGGGCCGGAGATGGCCAGCATCCCCCTTGTGGAATGGGGATGGACAGATGAGCCTCGGCAACCTGCCCTCCCACCCTGGCGGGCTTGTGCTAAAGGAGGAAATTAGAGGGAGAGCAGCTCCCTGAAGGACAAAGACCGCCTCCCCCGCCGGCCCGGCACAAAAGCTCCCAGGCAGAGGGCGGAAGGCTGGTGCCGATGAAGTGCTCACCGGGCCAGAGGCACGCTCTGCTTTCGATTAAACAGTCATTATTTACTCCAGTCAGGACCAGCGCTGGGGCCAGCAGATGTCACGTGACCCACGGGCTGGGGTGGGAGCCGGCAGCCCTGCTGACCCAGAAATCATGGTGCCCTTACGTTGCCTCCACACTGTGCGACGATCCAGACACGGCTGGAAGACCTCATTAAGTTCCCGTGATGCTCCTATTGAAACAGAAATTCATCACGGGATTGCCTTATTCCTCCCAGGAAAACACTCCTGTCTAGCCTTGCCGGCTGCCTAGCCTGCTCAGAATACTTACGAACATTTTCATCAGTGACAGAACTGGGGACCTGAAACAGATTCCAGACTTTTCCCAGGCCTGGGTTTGCTATTGCTACATAATTTCTGGCTCGAGTCTCAAAATAAAGTCATCACGAGTTACAGCCTTTCTTCCTCTCCTTTTCCTAGCTCCACCAAGGGACCTTTCCAGAAGAGCATGAGCTTCAAGTCTCTTCCACTTGGAAGAGTGGTCGGTGCCGGAAATTTTAGCTGTCATGACATATCGGGTCTGAAAAATTGATGCTTTAATTTCAAGCATGGTAAATTCTCATCCCAGTGGCTGTGAGAGTCATCATACACGTTTTACAGATGAGAAAACAGAGGTGCCCAGAAGCTCATGAGGCAGGTTTTCCCCAAATCCTCACATCCTTGCAGATCATGCATCCTGGAGTCTAACCGACCCTGATTCTGTAACCCCACGAGGGCAGGGACCCTGCCTATCTTCTGTACCATAGAACAGCGCCGGACACAGAAGAATTCAAATGTGGAATCTTGAAGCTCAGAGAGGTGGCCAGAGTTTCCAATTTCTTCAAACAGAAACAGCGACACATCTTTAGGCCTACCACTAGGTGGCGCTGTCAAGGACACAGGTGATGAACGTGGGGTCGGTCCTAGGTCCAAGGCTTTGTCCTAATCTTTTGAGGTACATTCAGAATGAGCTGGAAGAGATCCCAAAGAAGCACCAGCATCAGTGGCACCTTTTCACGGTGGTGGGGCCATCCGGGCAGATGTGTCTTGGGTTGCCACCCTCATCTCTGGGTAGTCACTGGCTCTCTAGACCAGGCACCAGGCGGAGGCAGATTCCACCGCTTCCCATCCCGCCTCTGAGCAGCCCAACAGCCTCAGGGCTCCCAAACGTACTCAGCCCAGAACCAACAAAGGTGCGAACGTGTGTTCTTTTCCTTAATCAGAGAAGTTGCAAGTGTCTGACTTTTTAACATCTAGCGAAACTGAGCACCAACCTTAGGGGTGTTAATTTCTAAAACTAGCTTTATTTTGGAATAGTTTCAGGTTTACAGGAATGTTACAGAGGCAGGACAGAGAATCGCGCCCCGTGCACACTTCGCCTGGCTTCCCTGATGTTTTCCCAATGACCATGGTACACTTGGCAGAGCTAAAAACAAACAGGTCTGTTCATAGTCATTCACTCACTCCAGGCTTTATTCAAATTTCAGCACTGCTTCCACTGCTGTCCTTTTTTTTTTTTGGTCCCAGGATCCAATGCAGGGCATCACATTCCATGCAGCAGAGTGTTCGGTCATGAATTAAGGATTATAGTATGTTTCCTAAATCAGCCAAAAAAGAGGAAGAAATCCCCTGTGACTCCTATTCCCCTGCCCCAATGCCATTATCAAGCTTGCTCTATCTTCTAGACCTCTGAGGTCCAATACGGTACCCACTAGCCAAAGAGGTCTTTTCCGTTTCAACGTTAATTCTCCTTAATTTTAATTTCTCACCCACCTTGGCTATGTTTCAAGTGCTCAGCAGTGTGTGTTACTAGCCGCCCTGGCACTGGGCAGGAGAGGTTCTAGAAATTTCTATTATTACTTAAATTTCTATTAAACAGCACTGTGCTGGATCTTTTTCTGCATTGTGCTGCAAGTATGTGTTTAAACACACGCCTTTAATTTTTGTTGTAAAGGCTGTAGGCTACTGCGTACGTTTTTACCTGATGTCTTTTAGCCATCACTCCACAATGGTACCTATGCGTCTGCCCATTTTGGCCACTGCAGGGTGGTTCACAGAATCATCATTCTATAAGTCATCCCCTTTTGGTGGGCACTTAGGTTGTTCTCAAAGTCCTATTACAATAAAGGAACATTGCTTGTTCCAGCTAAAAGCACCCTAAATTGACTTCAGAGTAGAGTGACTTTGGCCAATAAGAGAAATACTCCCCCAGAAAAGTTCTTTCTGTACCTTCAGAACTATGCTTTCAGGCCCATGACCATGCTCAGTGAGACTAGATGCAGGAGGGAAACTCAGCCATGGGGCCAGGCGGGCGGGATGCCAGGGTCTGCCCAGAAGTGGGGTGTGTTTCCGGCCACTGCTGAGAGGCCTGAGCCAGAGACACCATCCGGCCACTCACAGATAAAGCAACGTGCTAACCAGCCTAGAAAACGGTATCCAACCAGGATCTGAGGGTCTGAGTCCTGTGGCTTGATTGGCAGATACCAAGTGCACCGTAGGAAACAGCAGGAGCTGGTTCTAGAAAAGCAGGCTGGTGGCAGCAGTGTGCCAGCACCTTCCGGAATGCCATTTAATGCAAAGTGACTCCACTGAGTAGATCTGTTACCACCATTTTACAGACGGAGAGATGGGAGGGTTAGGAAACCTCCCCATTCTGTTCCCAAAAAAGTTCCTGCTGGGAACTGCCGGAGCTGGGACACGAACTCCACATGGAGCCTGTGGTCCCTATGCAGGCCGGCGGCCCGTGCCCCCAGGGCGGGCAGGCACACGAAGAGAGCACTGGATCCCAGCTTCCCCTAGTGTTCCCATCTTATGTTGCCATGGCGTCGATCAGAGCTCGGAGGTGCACTGGTATATTACCAGTCACTGAAAACCAGGCTCTTTGGGTCTCGGCACTGTTTCCCCTTCTGTCCCCATCACTGCCCGCCACGGATCAGACTCCTGTCTGTAAGCATGGGCGCCACTTTACAAAGGATGAGACGGAGGCTCGGGGGACTGTCCACCAACTCAGACCCCTCCCAACCCGACCTTGCTGAGTAATCCTGGGCACAAGTTGTGCCTGGAGTTTCTCTCATTCAGTGAGAATCATGGGCTTATAATTAAGAGCTGTAGCACTCAGGCAAGGCTTCTTGGTAGGGCGAGATTAGAAGTGGGCCCTAAGGAAAGGCAGGTGGTAGGGGCATGGGAAGCATCGCTGGTTTTGAGCAGAGACCTCCTACATGCCTGTGTTCCACCCTCCCTCCTCCTCCAGGCAGCACAATTTTAGGCACAGAGAAACTTAGTCCCCAGTAACTGAGAAATCCTAGGCCCGGAAGCTTCAGACCTCCAGATCTTCGTGCTTCTGATCAGATTCAGCTGGCAATTCACCCCCAGGGCTCAGACACCAGGTCTACAGACCCCCCGGAAGCACGTTGGCTGTTGCTGGCTGCACTGCCTGCGTGGGACAGCCCAGATCCATCTTCCGAGATGGCCGAAGGCCACGGGGCCCACCTGTAAAACTCCCAACCCGGGCATCCTCAATGTGGCTTGTCCTAGCGGAAGAGTATTTTTTCGTGGTTTCAGCCCCACTCCTCATTTATCACAGCAGGCCTCTAACAATGAACTGGGGCAGAAGAGGGCCCGCGAGAAGTGGGGGAAGTTTACATGAGATTCCCCTGGGATGCTTTCAAAGCATGCAGAGGCCTGGGCGCCGCTCCAGACCCAGTGAAATCACCATCCCCAGGAACTGGGGCTCTGGTCTCTGGAGTTTTACAATCTCCCAAATGATGGCTCCAAGCCAGCATGAGCCACAATCCTGAATGTGTGGCCCGAGACGGTAGGAATCTTTTGAAGGAGTGGTGCGTGAAGAGAGGCATCTTTAAAGGTCCCGTGGGCGCACTGGGCAGACTGGGCCCCTGCTGGGTGTTATTCCTATACCATTTGAGTCAAGCCCCTCTCCTCCCAAGCAGGGGGTCCCTACTGGAGG